GGGATCAGGTTCCGATTTAAGCTAGTGTGTGGGGTTGCGATTAAAACCCGATCGTGTGTTTGCTAATGCTAAACAACATAGTGTCATTGGCAATTATCTGGGGCAGAAAGAAAAAAAAACAGAAGAAAAGACTATGCTATTTGCTCATCATTTTTCTTGCATTTCCGCATTGCAAGCCTCTAATTTCATTTTCAATTAAAAACGCTGCCATTTCAGCGCGGCAGATGCAACACTCGCTAAAGTTAATTAACTATTCAACTATGTGTGGTTTTCTTTTCTTTTCTGTTTTTTATTTTTATTTTTTTTGCTGCTCCATGGAGCAAATGAAACGCTGACTGATTGCGCTTTTTGATGATGAGCAATCAAAGCGAGCAGAAGGGGGGAAAGGGGGAGTGTTAATTAAAAGCCAAACTAGAAACAGTTACAAAACGAAAAGCGGTTCTTGCTTTATTAATATTACTAACACTTCTTAGCAAGCCAAGTCATGCAAGTTCAAGTTTGTTGCTTGCTTGCTTGTTTTTGTGGGTGATTTTTCATTCATTTTTCCCCCCACTCGGTTTTTCATGGTGCCGGAGAACAGACGGAGCCAGCAGAGCACGTGCTTCCAAATGGAGCACATCGCGGGTTTTTATGGCCAGATAAATGCCTGCAATGATGATGATGATGAATCAACCACAACACAATTGCTCACTGAGCTACCGATCCCGTTTCCTGTGGCAAAAATGCATCAGATGTGGAGTTCAAGTTGCCTGTACAACACCAACGCTTGTCTGATGTCTTTTGTCTGCTTTTTTGGTATGTGACAGGCTGTGAATGAAGATAAAATGCAAGTGACATGAAATGGAGATATGTATAAAAAAAGAAACATAAGAAAAAAAAGTTCTTTGACATTGAAAAATATTTTTAAAAACCCCCAAAGATTTAGGGTACTTCGATTTTATACGATTATTGCTTTAAATGTCTTAAAAAACGTAGTACAAGAGAATTCCCTTAAATTTAAAATCTCTAAAAATAACACAGATTATTTATATAGAACTAAAATAATCCTAGTTTGAATTAACTTCTTTTTAATTAAAAATATTGCCATATTGTTAAGTTTTAGTCCCTTAAAACCCCCCGTCAGGTTGGAAAACAAATATGAGCTTCTCATAAACGACTCTTAACCATATGTGAGGAACAAAAATCACACACAGGAGTATTTATTCCTCTCCTTGAAAATCTCTGCCTTGTGCAATGTCTCTGGAATGTCATGCCAGGCTCTAGTAAACAAGAGTGCGCCCACACAGGCCACGTTTATTTCAAAACCATATAGTACTCCAAGGCAAAAGGAGAAAAGAACAGACCAGACCATAGCAGACCCAACCAGAACAGACCGTTTCCGTTGCATGACCGTGGTGGCTTCAAGAGTCCTTAGAGAGTCACTGGCGTAAACGAGACAATGCCGTTGAATGAAATGCCAAGACACAGAGAGAAATAAGTAGTAAATAAGAATTAAATCACACTTAAAAAGACTTGGGTAGTATACTATGTATATTTATTAGCTCGTAAAAATATTTATGATACTCTTTGTATAGAAATTACTCTTCCAGAATATAGTTTAACCAGAATTTAAATCTTATTTATTTTTATTATTTTTCCTCTGAGTGCATCCTTGCAGAAGGCGAGGCCACAGTCAACGACAGCTAACCTCATCCCCTTAAATTTTAGTTTTATAAAACTCCCCCTCATTGCATTTTGTTTACTTGTTTGTTTGCGCGCGTTAAACATTCTCGGATGCTCCAAGTGCAGCAGCAGCAGCAGCAGCAGCAGCAGCAGCAGCAGCCAAGGACATGATATCTTGACTTACAGACAGGTGTAAATTATGTAGAGTGAAAAGAGATGCCTGTGCATGGAAAAAACAAAAGCAAAACATCACAGATGCTGGATGCAGGCTGCAGACAGTTTCATTCATATTATTATTATTTTTTTTTTTTTATGTGCCAAAGCATTCATGGTAAAAGTTAGGAATACAGAAAGGGGAAGGTTCCTGCACACTAAGAGAAAAACTTGAAGAAATTTAAGGTTAATTATAGGGGAAATACTTCATATTGAGTTCTTAAAAATTTATAAGAAATAAGCACAATTAATCATTATAACAAAGACATATTTGTTAAACTTTTCTTTTGGTTTTACTGATATACAAATTAAGCTTATAGAATGATGAATTTATATTGATTAGAATTTGATTTTAAAGTCAAAAGATATAGTTATTGCTCTAGGAAAAATAAATAGTCAGTTTGCAGAATATATTTTATTAAGGGGGTCTTCTCATTGGGCAACTTTTTTTTTCGATTTTTTTTTTTTTTTGCATTTATTTATAGCTTGGGATGGTGTGTATATGTGCCCAAAAGGATTTTTAGAAATTCGAAATACTTTAGAAGATACAGCCTTTTTTGTGAAGCAAGATCTATGCAAAATGAGCTTTTTTCAAACTTCAAACGCGTTTATCTCGAAACCACGTTTTTCGAACTGGCGGCCATGATATCTCCAGTTCAACTGAACCGATTTTCATGAAACAAAGCGGAATCGACGCAGAATTGTCACCATTTTCGGCTGACGGAACAGATTTTTTTTTTTTAATTTTTTTTCTATTTTTTTTTTTTCTATTTTTTTTTTTACACTAAACTACAAAAAAAACGCCCGAAATCGAATTTTTTTTTTGAATGGCCGCCATTTTGTTTTAAAAATGTAAAAAAAAAATCTGTTCCGTCAGTCGAAAATGACATCTATTCTGATTATAACCCCGTTTTTATTTTTCATTTCGGACGCTCTGGAGACCCTGAATCGTGGCCGCCAGGACGACACCTTTTTTTTCGACCACCAAGTTTGAAGTCTCATTACTCTTTGAACAACCCTCGTATCAAGGCAAGAACAACTTTTTTAGTTACTTTGAACATTTTTGAATACAATAAATAAAAAAAGTTTTCAATTATTCTTTGCGTTTTCAAATAAGAATTTTTTTAAAAAGGGTCCAAAAAACGGCTTTTGAATGAGAAGACCCCCTTAAATTCATAGTATTAGCGAAAATATTTTAGTTAGTTTTAACGAATTTACCACCTTTAATATATATTTTAAATGGATTTTCTATGAATCAAAATGTGTTTTTTCAGTTTATAAAGTTTTCCTTATTTTCGAGTTGCTTTGTATACCCTATAATTATTTTTTTGAAGTGTAAAAAGTCACTGCATATTATGCCTTCCCGTCTGAAGTGTGTTTGTTGATATGCGCAGCGATTTAATTATAAACACACAACACGTGCTTAGTCCATTACATTATGGGAAAGGTGTGCAAACTGAAAATAACCACACTGAACACTCAACACTCTTAGAACTCGCACAACAACACACACATACACACACTGAGCTTGAACTTCGCAGTCCACTGAGCTGTGCGTAACTCGTGTGAGTTTTTTTTTATAATAGCAGAGTTTCAGGTCGAATCAGAGGCAGGCCCTGTGGCTATATTTAATTCTTTCTAATGTATGCCAATATGGCATTAATCGCTTAGACACGCAACAAACATTGAGTGGTGGCTATATAATTATCCTGCGCGTTGTTTGGCCAGAAAGATGATGAGAAGCTATAATTAAATCGGTTAAATCTTAGAAGTTGGCTTCAGAGGAAAGTTGAGGAAATTATGCAATATAAACTAGGGAAGAAAATAATAATAGGAAGCTTTGCTTGGATGGGTTTCTTTTAGTTTTTACATTTATTTCTCTACTTTTTGTAAATTCTAAGAAATACAAGCAAATATTTGGTGTTATTTTCAAGATTAATTTTCAGGGTAAAATCGGTTGATTTAATCCACATGAATCCAGTAAACTATTATGCCAAAATATACTCTTAAAATTTCCTGTGTTGGTGTATCCCTAAATTCGTACTTGAGAATTTTAGGTGCCTTTTTTTTCTTTGTTTTTCAAAGTCTTACAATAATTTTTTAATCTTAAATAAAAGTCTATCTTTTTTCCGCTTTCTTTAACAAACTCTAAACAGTTTTGCTGCCAATTATCCCAGGTTGCAATTACCAATCAGCAAAAAAACATAAATATTTTCTGGTATTATTAGCCACTTAAAATGTATTAGAAAAAATGCCAAAAGACCTCAATTGAAATAATCAACGCCATTTGCTGATTGCACTGGCAGACCACATGGTCATGATGGGGCCTCTGGCTCTCTGAAACGGAATGAACTCTACTCTTCACATCGTCACATGCAATGACCGTATGTTAGCTCCAGTTTCCCGATTGCCAGCCAGCTGCTGCCGTGTGCGTTGTGCATGTTTTCCTTTCCTTTATTTTAGTTTTATTTCTCCTTATTTTGTTTTTTTTTTTTAGATCATAAAGCATCGATAAAAATCGCTGCGCCGGTCCACAGCCGGTCAATGCACGCGGTCGTTATTGTTGCATGTGCCGCTGAAATAACGGTGGCGAGGAAAATGCTGAAAAGCTAGCTGCCCCTCACGGTTTGGTGATTGTAATAATAAAACAAATGCTTGAAATGTGGTCAGCAGGCATAGTTTTCCACAAAAAACCCGTAAAAAACTAAAAAGCGCCAGAAAAAATGAGTTCACTGAGGAAAAAGGAGTTGAAACTGAGCTAGGATTATAGGTTATCGATTCTGGATTTCAATAGAATTTTATTTTTATAAATATAGTTTGAATAATACTTTTGTAATGCAGAGCTATCTTATAATTTATACAAATATATTGTATTTATTTAAAAAAGTTTATTTTTAGTTAAGTACTTGATAGATTTATCGATATATGATTTAATCGAAATCGTTGTAGCGATATATTGAATATTATGTTAACTCATCCCAAAACTCCTTTGATTTTTCAGTGTAAAAATCATTAAAAGTTTGCATGCCAAACTCGCATTTATTTCTGGTTTTCCAGTTACCAAGTCAAACAGTATATATTGACTAACGATTTTTCTATTCCAATTCCTGTTAATTTTTTTTTAGGGTGCCGGCAAGGAAATCCGAGAAGCAATCGCCGATCCCTCGCCTGAGGTGACAGGGAAGGCCTGGGCGGCGGTCCTGCCGCTGGTCAATAAACTGAAGCGCTGCTACGAGCACTCCATGGAGCTGGACAAGATCGTGCCCAAGCTGCTGGGCCAGCTGGTGGGCGGCAAGCTGAATCCGACACAACACCTGGAGACGCAGCAGGCCCTGGTCAAGCAGCTGGCCGAGATCTTGGAGTTTGTGCTGAAGTTCGATGAGTACAAGGTGAGTGAGTTTTTTTTTCTTTTATGTTACGTGTTGGTGTGTTGTGTTGAGTTGTTGTGCGTGTGTTACAAGCTCTGGTCCATATTTGGCAGTAGCAACGCCTACAAGGGTTGGGGTTTAACCCATTAGTTGTTGGAGGTGGAAAATGAGGTCGGGGAAGGAATTTACAGGGTCAGAAAATTAATGGAATTACAACTATTGAAAAAAAATGTTTAAAAAAATATAAACTAAATTTATTATTGACTTAAAAGTGATATATTTGCGGTTCTTTCAGTTATTAAATAAATATATTAATTCCAAGTCGTTAAATATATAAAAAATATTACAAGTAAATTGATTTTACCTTTATTATTTCTTATTTTTTTTTTTTTTTAATATAAATCTTAATCAAAAGCGGAGTAAACTTTAGCCAACTTTTATTTTAATAATTTATTTATAAAATTTACAATGCTTTTCATTTACAATCTGGTATTTCATGGGTTAAATTATGCCGTCTTCTTCACCGCCTGCCTGTCTGTTTTGTTTACCTTATGTGGGCGCTGTCGACAGTCCATCCGATCCAAAGCAATAACCAAAAGGCAAAGTCAAACGAAGCCAAACCAAGTCCCACTTGCTGCTTGCTGCCAACTCATTGTGCGCGTGGTTGCATTTTTAATTGACTGACTTCAATATATATTTCTGTCTGGGCTAACTGAAGACTAACTTGGCCAAGACGACGAGCGCGTGCTGCGGCTCATTGATGAAAAATCTTTGGGCCAGCAAACAGCTAACACAGCTTGCATGCGTGCCACACAGTGGAGCATCGGACATCGGACATGGGACATGGCCCAGGCACTTACGCACACGCAAACCCAACGAACGATGGCCGGATGAAGTTGTAAAAAGCATAGATATATAGTTGGTGGGAATACAGCAGAGGTTATATGAGTAGAAGAGGTATTTATTAGGGGGAAATTATGATAATAAGTGGTTTATATGAATTTTACATTGAATTTTTATGGGTAAATTGATGAGGTGTATTTTTAGTTTAGTTCTTAAAAGTGGTATTGTCATACCTACCTTTTAACCCTAATTGTTTCTTAAATTTTCCAACATTTTCAACCACAAATTGTTTACAATCGGAACAGTAACACTGGCTGTGACAGTTGGCTTTGCAATTTCGATTTAGCAAACACAAATCGATTCGTTTTAATGGCAAATCTCTGTGGGTAAAACATTTCCCATGGCTCGCTTCCGGTTGGTTTGAAACTTTCATCAAATCAGGCGGACATAGACAGGGAGTTTGGGGATCTAGGACACTGACTGGAGGGGTTAAGGTAGGGATATGGCACAGTCATCGCCATCGTCGTCGGCTTCCAATCTCTGATGTCTGTAACTTGCTGGCTCCCCAAGATGATGATGATGATGATGTTGATGTTAAATGCTGTAAACTGCACGTTCATTGTGTGCTCAAAGTGTCAGCTGCCTGGCTTAGATACATATACTCTTGCATAGATATAGATATAGATGTATATATATATAAATGTTCTCCTGTAATAGTTGTGTGTGTATATAGCTTAGACGTGCTTCCCTCTAACAGCCACTTCCGTTTCGTTCCCCTCAAACGGTGGGCATTGTCTCAGCGCTTTTGTTGTCCGCCGGAAAGTATGCTGCATACAATTTTTTGACTTTGCTTGTAACTGGCTTCGTTTTAACGACAAGTTTTTATTGGTCTAAAAAAAGAAGAAAGAAAAATCTTGACATGGCTGAGAGGCACTTATGTTGTGTGATTGAGGAAGTATAAAAGTGAAAGATGAGTGTAAAATTAAACAAAATAAAGTAAACTATGGAAAACAATTAAAAATATTAATATTCTTTATTAATCATTAATAAGATTTATTTTCTTTTAATTACCAATTACAAATACATTTTTAAAATGTTTTTAAGTCCAATAAATTCTTATATTACTCTCATAAAACAGAGTACTTATTACCTCTCGTAATTTTTGTGTTGATATTTTTAACTTTTGCCCTCTTATCTTATCCCTAGCAGATCAATCAGCCCAAGAAAATACCAAAAAGAAAATTATTTTCTTGGCAAACAACCAAAATGGCTCTTTAGGGGAATGTATTCAATTTTTTGGCTTCTTTACAGGGCAACATTTTGTATAGGGGGAATATAATCCCCTACTCTCCTCTACTTCTCATCGAAATCTTCACCGACATCGTAGACTGGCTGCAGGCGTCTGGGATATTTACGCAGATAATTGGCAAAATGCTGTGCATATTTGGCCTGAAAATCACGTTGCCTCCAAGGTTGGGCGGGTTGATAGTAGTTACCATCGTTGGTGTACACATTTTGATAGTTATTTGTGGCTAGCGAGCGACTGCCACCAATTTGGACTACTTGCTCCTCCTCGCGGCGTGAATCGCTGGATTCCAGCTCTCTAGAGGAATGTTGGGGATATGGTTGTTGAAATTGTTTGGTATTTGGTGTTGTTGGTGTAGTTTCCTGTTGTTGGTAGTAAAAGTAGCCTGGGACATTGTTGTAATTGTGATTTGGGTAACGTGGAGGAGGTTGGAGGTCTTCCCTTCTTGGTTCACTTCTCCAACTTGGCTGATATAGAGGCAAGGTGTCGTCCTCTCTTTTCCAATTTGGATAAGTTTGTCTGGGAGCCTCCGCTGCATAATAACCATTTATATTTGGATACTGCCGCTGCTGTTGCTGCTGTTCTTGGGCACTAAACTGATTATCATTGACCACAATCGGTGAACCCGACCATATAGATTGCACTCCTGGGATTGCATAAGTTCCACCACTGAAAGGTGATGCATATTGAGCTTTTCCACAAACTGCATCGATCATCAGCAGCATCATCAACACTGCATATAGCTAAAAATAATAACGAATAATCATTACTATAGATTAATCATCTCGGGTGTCGTATGCTTTATAATATATATGGAGAGATGAGGGTGGAGGAGCACTTACCAAGCTGACGATCCGTCCTGTTTGCGGCTTCATTTCAGACTGTTGAGAACGATTTATGCTAATAACGTATTTATATGGGGTTTCGCAACAGACTCTCCACTCAAGTCTCGACACTACTACTATATAGTACACCTGGCCCAGGCCAGTGCATGATTTTTTCTGTCAAGGTGATTGGATGAGCAACATATACTCTACCTCTACCTCTACCTCTACCTGACTCAAAAATTCGAGGCGGCGGAATCTTAGAAGTTGTTTTCTCACGCACGTTCCCGATGCAGCCCTGACAGTTTAATTTTGTTTGGTTTTGGGCCTGGCCCGGGTACTAGACTTGCAACAGTTAACTACCAAGAGGCAAAAGGCATCAGAGGCGACAGCAGGCAGCAGGCAAATTGCGGTGTCACGTACTGCGTAATTAGTAATTAGATTTTAAAGCCAACCGTAATTAGAGGCTAACAAGAGCGAGTGTTGAAAAGCCGCTGAATGTGTATAGCGTTAACTGACAATACTTGGCTGAAGTGTTGGTTTGTAACATAGCCAAGCTACTTGCTGTGATGGTAATTTAATAATTTAAAATATTTATTAAAAAGGAAAGAGAGGAAATTTAATATAGACTAAAACTAGATTCCTACAGTAAATGAAATACTCTAAAAATTGATTAAAAATCTTTATTTATAAAAGTGACATGATATTTTTTAGATATTTATTCTCCTGCTTTATCAAACATGAAAGAACAATATATTATTTTTGTAAATTAAGTAATGTAAGCAAACTAATTTCAACGAATTTTTCCTTTTTGATTTCTTAATCATGTAATAATAATATTAAACTTTTGTAGATTTTCCTAAATTTCCTAAAAGTTTATGCGCGTTACGCATCTTACATCTTTACCTTATAAAGCCTTTGGTTTTAAGTTTTTTTACTTTGAATTGAAAATAAAACACATATTTTTATATCCAAATAGTCTCTTTTCTTGTAGAATAAGTTGTAGAAATAATGAATAATTTTTTAGAATTTACAAAATGTCAAAATGTTAAGAATTACCGATTTTCAACTCTATGAAAATACAATTTTTAGCAGTAAACTTTTGAATTTTGTCTTGTCAAATTTATAAATTTGGACGCAAATGCAGGATAAAGAAGGCTCCATCTCGTGGCACAGGAAGTTGGCTCAGAAATTTCCCACCATCATAAGAATCATGAAATAATTTGTTTAAATGGGACTTGGTTTCTGTTCTTTTTCCCAGGGCCAGGTCTTGGCAAGGAGTTTCGCGAGTAAGCAACTGCAAGAACAAGAAGTTATTAATATATTACAAAATATAATTTAAAATATTTACAAAAATTTATGTTAAAACAGAATTAAAGTTAGTATAACTCACAATTTTCTTCGTTATATTGGCCAAAGTATCTGAAGAAGGTGGCTGATTGAATGGCTCTTTTTGGAACATATTCTCCTTGTGGCACTTGAGCAGATGAGCTGCTATGATATTTCTTGCCCTGATCTCCTCTTCATTTTGGGTCGGTGTCCGCAGTCGACTTATCCACATGGTGGCCATCATTTTGGAGCGCAAGTCCAGGTTATCAGTCTGAAGCTCCAGATTATCAATGTCCCGCTTGAAGTCATCGACGGATTCCATGACCATGACGGTAGTTTCGCTGGGCTTTTCCGGGTAGGTCAGAGTTATTGCCGAGTCCAGCTCCGATTGCCCCTGGGAATTCCTCGACTCTTCAAGCTTTTTTCGTTGTTGCTTTCGACGCTCGCGTTCCTTTAGGCGTGCCGCTTGTCTTTCCAGCCGTTCTTGGCTTGGGTCTTTCTTCTGCTGGAGCTTGGCTCTTTCTTCGCTCTTCTCCTTCTTCAGCTCCTTCTTCTCCTTCTCCTTCTCCATCTCCTTGACCTCTCGCTCTAGTTCCCTACGACGTTCGGCTTGGTCTTGCTGCATAAACCGAAAGGAATCCATTTCAACGGAAGTTCGGCTTCTTCTTACGTGTCTGTTGCTGTGATTAGTGTGTATGTTAAAGGGTGCTAAAGAGTTTATAATAATTATTAATAAATTATGTAGTTTACCCCTCATTTGAGTCTCTACTTGGGGATTGTTTGAAGAGGTTTAAAAATCCTTTACTGGTGTTACTCATTCTGTTTAAAACATATTTGAAACTAAACTGATGACTTATTGAAATTATTCTCAGGGGTTGTGTTAACTTTTTTTGAAGGGTCTTTTGGGAGGGAATAATTTTCAATTTTTTACCCAAGGTTTTTATTTTTAATTAATCTAAAATTGCAGAAATTTATTAAAATACTAAATCAGAGTTTCGTTAATAATTTCTGCTTGGAAAAACCAAGAAATCTCGGCTAGATTCTTTTTAAATCTGAAAAATCAGAGCTCCTAAGGTTATTTCTTGCTTTTATCATAAGATTTGAGCTCTAATTCTATTATTATTTTAATTTATTTATTTTATAAAATATTAAATTATTTATTTATAAAATAAACTAACAAATTTTCAAATTTTTCGTATCCTTTTAGATGAAAACCCCCGCCATACAGAATGACTTTAGCTACTACAGACGCATTGTCAGTCGGCAGCGCGTGGACTCCACGGAGAACATGCTGGTCAGCACGGAGCTGGCCAATCGGATGTCCCTTTTCTATGCCCATGCCACGCCCATGCTCAAGGTGCTAAGCGAGGCCACCTCAAAGTTTGTCAATGATAATGCGGACGATGTCCAGAATACGACAGAAACGTTAGGAACCATGGCCAAAGTCTGCCTCAGAATGCTGGAGAATCCGTGAGTTTTTATTTTAGAACTTATAGAAGATAAAATCCCTAAATATATTTCCTGATTCCAGAAAACTTCTGCAACAAATCGAGCGAGAGGACACGAAAATGCTGGTGCTGCGTGTAATGGTGGGCCTGGTGATCCTCTACGATCATGTCCATCCCGAAGGAGCCTTCGTGCGGGGGGCCCATGTGGATGTCAAGGGTTGTGTGCGCCTGCTGCAGGCGCAACCGGCCATCAAGGCGGAGCCGCTGCTCAATGCCCTGCGATATACGACGAAGCACCTGAATGGAGAGAACACGCCGAAGAATATACAGCGCATGTTGGCCGCATAGGAGCGGAGCAGGTGGTGGAGTGGCCAGAAGGAAGTCCTTAAGGTTAATTTCTATGTGTATTGCGTAACGATCTAAAATGGTTTTACTTTATTTATGTAATTAGTAGGCTTCTTGTATTATTTGTAAAAAAAAGAAAAGAAATTGTAAGCGAGCGAGCGAGGTGGAGGCAGGCAGCCTGTAGTTTTACGTTTTAAATTCCTCAAGCATTTGTTTTTTATGCCGCCAGCCAGCCTCCGTCGTAAGTGGAACGCATATATCAGCAGCAACAATATTTAGTTGATAATCTAGCCCTAATGTTAAGTAATGAAGCAAGGAACCTAAATTAACCTTTAAAAAAGAAAACAAAAATAAAAACAATTAGCGCAAAGTTTAAACTGTGTGAGAGATAAATCCTAAATTTTCACTACAACAGAGAGATTATAAATATAAAACTAAAAAGAACATTTTTAAAATCAAATCTAGAGTATTTTTTTGTACAGAAGGGTGTTAAGGTCTAAACTAACGCCTAAAATTAAACGAATTGTACGAACTAAAATGCCTAAACACACACTACAACCACACAAGCAGAAAGCGGATGCATTTATATATATATATTTCCACGCCGTCAACTTTGATAAACGTATTTAAATATAAAACAAATCTACAACAACATAAACTTGAGCTGCGCAATAATAATATTTTTAAGATTTACAAATAGTAATAAAGGATTGAAATAAAAAAAGGCAACACTTAACGCATACAATTTGTACCAAAAAAAAATTAAGGAAAATAATGAGAAAATCACACAAACTAAATAAAGATTTATATATGCGATAAGAGGAGCGAGAAGAAACGGATGAAGATGATGATAAAAAAAAACTATATAGAGAATGCTGAATCAAAATAAATATCACGCAAAATCAATTAATGTTTTGTCTTTACTTTGGGAGCTTTTTTTTTTAAAGATATTGTTTTAGTTTATATATTTAATATTTACTTTATTATTTATTATTAAAAAAGAGGATTAAAAAAACACTATGATAGTTTAAATTAAATATTTAATTTTTTTGTAAATTCGAAATTAATATTTATGGGTCTTTTTCTACCCTTTCCTTAAACAAGGGACCTAAAAATTATTTAAAACAAGAAAGAAAGCTAACTTTGGCCAGCCAAGGTTTGAATACCCTTGCAGGTAACAATTAAAATATATCATAACTAAGCCAAAAATGCATTAATTTCGATTCGGAAAGCAGTTTTGTGTTAGTTTTCATTAATTTAAAAAAACTGCATACCAAATTTAAAATTTTAAGAAATCAAAATTTTTGGCCATTTTTGCTAATTTTAATGATGTTACCCCTTATCAAATTTCGCAAAAATGGCCAAAAAATCGATTTCTTCCGGACATGTCTAGAAAGATTCCCTTGTTGATGCTGATCAAGAATATATTTGGTTTATGGGGTCGAAATGTTATATTTTTAAATATTCCAAACTATATTTTTGTAGCTATATAATTTATATATAGTACATTTCCTATCTCCTAAAAAAAATCTCTAAAAATTATTCTGAAAAAAAAAACGATAATTTCAAATATAAAAACCATCACAAGTACATTTTTCAATATTGCTTCTTTATTTAAATTTCAAGGCGTTTTTCAAGTTGGAACAAGTTTGTTGGAGTCACGCCTACTCCTTCGATGAACCTCGCTCTAACCGCAGCAGCCAGCCTCACCCTTGGGTGGGGAATCCGGCTCATTGGCGGCATATCGAACGCTGCGCACCACATGGTGATGGGGGTGGTTTGGTGTGTTGTCACCTGCGACCATGGCCTCCTGTTGAGCTTGAGCCGTAAAAGCGCAGAGAACCAGGATGAGAGCGAACAGGGCTAGGAACTTCATGGTTAAAGCTGGTTTGTTGTACAGATTGCTGGAAACTGATGCCTTTGAGCTGACCAGAGGCTCTTTTTATACAGAAATCGGTTCACAAAACTTGATTTAACAAAAACATCTGTGAGGTTGCACAATCGGGATTGTGCTTATTAGAAATAAGTAATTCATTATTGAAATGTGTAGCTTGTTGTATTTGGCAGCGATGGGTAACGCCATAACGAAACACTATAAAGCTTAACAATAGGTTTTTCACTTTTTTTTTTGTACAAATGGAGCTTCTATAATTAAACAAGGTTGGGAAATAGGAAAACAAAATGGTAGGGTTTTTTTTTCTCAATAAAAATTCCGTTTTTAAAAACTAGGGTGTCCAAGGGTCAACATAAGGGCAAGGTGCGGTTAGAAATTAGGAGACTAATTAAGCATTAACTAAATTGATTGTCCTGGAAGTGCCTGGGCGGCTCATGTGCTGTTATTGTTGCTGGGTCGCGGCTTTAATATCAGCTTCCCCGTGTCATCACAGCTCATATTAAAGTCTCCTAGCACTGTACGCGTTCTCGAGGTGATTATCTGCGGGGCTATCACCAGCTTCTGGATGCCCAGGGTGAAGAGGACAACTGAAAGGGAGAGGAGAAATTAGTTTTTAGAACTTTTGGGAAGCATTTCTATATATTAAACTACAAAATAGATTGTTAAATAATTTTAAAATGGTTTGTTTTAGATTACAAGTAATTTATATAAATTTATTTGTTAATTCTCTTCATTTTTCTAGAAATCTAGTTTACTTTTGACTTCAATAATAAAACAATAAACTAAAACAAAAATAAACAAACACAGTAATCTTTGCTTTTCTAATCAGTACTTGGCTAGTAAACCATTTCCTAGATACGCTTTAAAAAAAAAAAAATAAAGAAAAGAACTGAAAAATAGATTTTGGACCCGTTTCTCAAGGATAACTCTTACTACCTGGCAAGGTCCTTGAGAGTTTCTCTTTTTGATAAATTATATCTCTATAATTTGAATACTGACAACCCAACCCCATTCCCATTTCGATTTTTCAAATGTCCAGCAATATCTCAAGCCAAAACAAGTTTAACCCTTAGTGAATAACATTAAAAAAAAATATTTGTTGTAAACTTACTCAGCGCGAGAGTGGCAATTGTGAAAATAGGATGAATAAACAGGGACTCGGTCAGCGGGACGGTGGTGGTGCGCGGATCCCTTAGCCAGTACCACGCACTTATGGCCGTGCACATGGACATGGCAGAGAGGACAACTGCAAGAAATTCTACGGTTATCAAAGCCCGGAGAGTGCACCCGCGGGTGAAGGTACACTTACTGCGCCAGCGGAAGGTTGATGGCCGGTACGAGGAAACCACTTCGGTGAGGCGCCGCTCGAAGGCCTTGAGATCTGCAAAATGAAATCAAGGATAAACAAAAACAAACGTAGTTATTAGTTGGTAAACATAGTCAGCCCCCCGGGTGACAGTCGGTTTAGTGCCAAGCGGGGTTTTTCAATTTAAACCGACTGACACTTGCCTTCGCAAGCGGATGGTTCCATTGCAGCAATTTCCTCGATGCTCGTGGCCGCCTTGATGCTTTTAAATTTGTCCAGCTTATAGATTTTTGCGAAATTTCCGAGATTTGGATTGGATTTTCATAGTTTTACTTTTTTTCTATGTTTTTAATGATATTCGCCGTTAGCCAGCACTGCGGCAGGTGGCGTTGACCAACACTAGAGGGGCAAGGCGGAGGTAAAGGGGGTTAGAAAACTAAAAAAAACTACGTGATTATAAATAAAACATTATTAATAGCTAAATTAAAATGTAGTTTCACATTAAAACAATATATGTCTCTAATTTTTAACTGCATAAATGTTAATTTTTAAACCTTGTTATGCAGAAATGAATCTTGTATCCCCTTTGTCCCCAAAAAACTATGCTCTACCTACGCCCATGCCTTTAGGTATTTTTCTGCCAGCCCAAACGGTCACACTAACACAGCTGGTTGCGAAAAAAGGCGGAAAAGTCGTGTAAAATAATAAAAACTGTTTATTTTGCAAACAAACAGCAAAGTTACAGTGCTTAAAAACCGCAATGAATACCACAAAAGTGCCGCCGGAGTGGAAGCGGCGTGTCAAGTCGGAGTACATTAAGATCAGGCAGCAGAAGCGCTACAAGCGGGCGGATGAGATCAAGGAGGCGTGGATAAAGAACTGGTAGGTGGCGGGAAAGGGAAGCTGCCTGTCTGGAAGCCCAGAAAGTGTAAAAAACATAAAGAACCTAATAAATAACCCACTTTTCTCTATGCCCAAAGGGATGAGCACAATCACAATGTGCAGGATCTTTACTGCGAGTCGAAGGTTTGGCAAGCGAAGCCCTACGATCCGCCGCATGTGGATTGCGTTAAACGGGCCGAGGTGACCAGCTACAATGGCATACCCAGTGGCCCCCAACGTATTCCCATCTGTGTGATCAATGCCGTAACGCCCATTCCGACCATGTACACATGGGCACCCACCCAGCAGAACTTTATGGTCGAGGATGAGACGGTCCTGCATAATATACCCTACATGGGCGACGAGGTTCTCGATAAAGATGGCAAATTCATTGAGGAGCTCATTAAGAACTATGATGGCAAAGTCCATGGCGACAAGGATCCCTCGTTTATGGACGATGCAATTTTTGTAGAGCTGGTACAGGCTTTGATGCGTTCTTACAGCAAGGAGCTGGAGGAAGCCACCAGTCCTGGAGGCTCTGTCAAGTCGGAGACACTGGTTAAGCTGAAGAAGGGCGATGATGAAGACGAGGAAGTGGATTTTGAGGCGGAGGAGCAGAAAGAAGAGCCTAAAATTGAGGAGAAAAAGGAGCTGGCAGGGGATGAATCTGAAAAGAAGGAAGCGCTGTCAGGCGAGGCAGATGTTAAGCCACCAGTGGAGGTTGCCAAGGACAAGCTGCCCTTTCCGGCTCCCATTATATTCCAGGCCATCAGTGCCAACTTTCCCGACAAGGGCACAGCACAGGAGCTGAAGGAGAAGTGAGTTGAGGAAGGCAAAGTCGAGCTATAACTATATTCTTTATTCGCTTTCCCAGATACATTGAGCTCACTGAACACCAGGATCCTGAACGCCCTCAGGAGTGTACACCCAATATAGATGGCACCAAGGCCGAGAGTGTCTCCCGGGAGAGGACCATGCACTCTTTTCACACTTTGTTTTGCCGGCGTTGCTTCAAATACGATTGCTTTTTGCACCGTAAGTAGAATTTCCCCCTTGAGGATGGGCTTACCTAATGACTTTACGTTTTGTTTTTGCTTTTCTTTTCTTTGTTTTTGGAAAACCCACATAAAAAAACAAAAAAATCTTTACATTTTTAAACCCCAATACGAAATTCCAAAAATTTTTGTATTGAATTAATTGCAATTTAGGTAACCATGTGCAGGGTGAGTCGTTGTTGTAGTTGTTGTTTCTCGATAACCACAAGCACACACTCTCATGCCGTTAGCCATATATGTCCACCTGCTCCTCCGCCTGCGCATACTCATCTAAAATTTATATTTCTGTGGATAAATAATTGGCCTTGTTTGTTGTCACGTGTCTTAAATTGAACTCTTTTGGTGTTGCTCACCTCACCCACTCATTCCGTGTGGCTTTGCCTGGACCTCATTTCCAAGAACTCACTCTCTGTATTTCTGGAAAAAGCAGTAACCTTTGATAACCCCTCATTTTAACCCACCAAAAAAAAGCGTTTCATGGACATCCAAGTCAAGGATTTTTACATCTTTTTAAAGTTTTATAATCCAAATCTCTCTCTACAGGTTTGCAAGGCCATGCGGGTCCCAATCTTCAGAAGCGTCGCTATCCAGAGCTCAAGACCTTTGCCGATCCCTGCGGCAACTCCTGCTACATGCTGATTGTAAGTTGAAAAAGGATAACTTACAAGGATAACCTGGGTAAACAGCTCTCTCTTTTTCTTAAAAGGATGGCATGAAGGAAAAGCTGGCTGCTGATAGCAAGACTCCACCCATAGACTCTTGCAATGAGGCCAGCTCTGAGGATAGTAATGACAGCAATAGTCAGTTTAGCAACAAGGATTTTAACCAAGAAAACAGCAAGGATAATGGTCTGACAGTCAACAGTGCAGCTGTGGCTGAAATCAATTCCATAATGGGTGAGTTTTACTACTTCTGCAAGACCTACTTTTTCCTAATTCCCAACTAATAACCTTCAGCTGGCATGATGAACATCACCAGCACGCAGTGCGTGTGGACAGGCGCCGATCAGGCCTTGTTTCGTGTTTTGCACAAGGTTTACCTGAAGAACTATTGCGCCATAGCTCACAACATGCTCACCAAGACCTGTCGTCAGGTTTATGAGTTTGCCCAAAAGGAAGATGCCGAGTTTAGCTTTGAGGATCTACGCCAGGACTTTACACCCCCACGTAAGAAGAAGAAGAAGCAACGTTTGTGGTCTTTGCATTGCCGCAAAATTCAACTGAAAAAGGACTCTTCCTCGAATCATGTTTACAATTATACGCCCTGCGATCATGCTGGTCCCTGTGACATGAACTGCTCTTGTATACAAACTCAGAATTTCTGTGAAAAGTTTTGCAATTGCAGCAGCGATTGCCAGAATCGTTTTCCAGGATGTCGCTGCAAGGCTCAGTGTAATACCAAGCAGTGTCCTTGCTACCTGGCAGTGCGGGAGTGTGACCCAGATTTGTGCCAGGCCTGCGGAGCGGATCAGTTTAAGCTGACCAAGATCACGTGCAAGAATGTGTGCGTGCAGCGGGGACTGCGTAAGGATCTACTTAAAATACCTTTACATTTTAAATATTTCATTGAATTTCTTGTAATTTCTCAATGCAGACAAACACCTCTTGATGGCCCCCTCGGACATTGCCGGCTGGGGCATCTTCCTCAAGGAGGGCGCCCAGAAAAACGAATTCATTTCCGAGTATTGTGGTGAAATCATCTCCCAGGACGAGGCCGATCGGCGTGGCAAGGTCTATGACAAGTACATGTGCTCGTTTTTGTTTAATTTAAACAACGATTTCGTGGTGGATGCCACGCGCAAGGGCAACAAGATACGTTTTGCCAATCATTCCATTAATCCCAATTGCTATGCCAAGGTAATGATGGTCACTGGGGATCATCGCATTGGTATCTTTGCCAAGCGAGCCATTCAGCCCGGCGAAGAGCTCTTCTTTGACTATAGATACGGGCCCACGGAGCAGCTCAAGTTTGTGGGGATTGAGCGAGAAATGGAAATTGTTTAAATTTGGAATCTTTTATAACAGAAAATAAATATATATTTTGATTAACTTCAAACGGATTTGGCCACATTAGCTATGATGGGTTTGGGCCGTGACTTAAAAATCAGCTTTTTGGTGCAAATGGCACGTACAGTGTACTCGGTTCTCTGGCTACTTTTGTGCTCCTGGGCTATGGTGTGATCCAAGACGGTTCTCTCGGCGCCAGTGGTGGCATTCAGCAGGCTCATGTCCTGCGAGGGAGCCAAGCTGGTGTCCAGGAGTCGCTCGCCATCGTTGGTCTTTGATTTTTCTAGAACGGCAAAGGGTTTCTCCAGCTTTTGTTCACGTCCTTGGAGTATGTGATGGCCAATGATGAGGATCTGAGGGAGGAAAATGTGTTTTAAATTTATGTTTTATGGTTTTTTTTTTGAGTATTTTTACAGGCTGTCCATATTTGTTGTAGTAAAGATCGCCTATAAACTGATCGTGCATGTCCTGGTTGGCCCTCACTTCCAGGTCTCCCTGCAGCTCTATGATGGCCCAATCGCCTTTGCCAGCGTTTTGTCTGGAAAATAAACGAAATTATAAATGTATTTAAGAATTTTAACTAAAGGAAAATTCCTTAATAAATAAAAAACTATCAAAAAATAACTTTTCTTCAGAATTTTATTCAAAATTCACAGCAAATTACAAAAGAGTAAACTCCAATTCCTAGCCCCTGAACTTCTTAAACAAAGGATGCACGCTTCCAATATTCTTCCTGCGATGCTCATAGTAAATGGCATCATCGCCGCCCGACATTGAGCTCAAACCGCCAGCACGCTTGGTAGTGCCGCCACCAGTGGGCCGGTACCCCGGCTCTCCCGGCAGCTTCTCATCCTCGCAATCCAAATCAGAGGCGGAGAGTACGAGCTGTAGCAGCTGGCCCTGCTCTTCCTGGGTGCCATACATTAGATTCGTGTCGGTGTCCATGCCCTTGAGATGGGTGATGACCTTGTAGCTATAGCCCTGGTTAACCAAAAAACGTTGACGCTTGCGGGAGTAGCTCATCTCCATGGTGTCCTGCGAGACGAGGGTGTAGAAGAAGGCATTGTACTCTTCGGCAATGGCTCCTTTTTTGGCACGCAGAATACGACCCAGACGCTGGGCCTCCTGACGTCGCGAGCCGCCATGCGAGGAGATCTGGATAAGGACATTGGCCTCAGGGAGATCGAAACTAGTGTCGGCCACTTTGGAGACAAAGATGGTGTTGACCTAAAAGAAGAAAAGGTTTAAAAAATCTAATTTTAATCAAATTTTTGGTTTCCCTTCTCACCTTTGAGTTAAATTTGAAATTCTGCAGAATCTGGATACGTTCGTTTTGCGAGGTGGGTCCATAAATAAAGGGTTTATTCATCTTGATGGCATAGTGCTTCAAAGCAAACACATTATCCGAAAACACAATGGTCTTGTCGCCGCGTTGCTCATGATATTTAATCAAAAACTGGCAACTGCGAAACTTGGAGGGATTCATCACATACAGCAGCATCTTTTTGGAGGTCTTGGTGGTCAGATATTCGCGATAAAACTCCGGCGACATGGGACACCACACCTCGGCACACTGCACCCTGGCAATATAGCCCTTCTTCTGCAACTCCAACCAGTTGGCCTCATAAAGCTTGGGACCAATCAAGAAATTCAAATCCGCAATCTTGTCATCCTCACGCAGCAGCGTGGCCGTCAAGCCCAGCTTGCAATGCGACTGAACGATGGTCAAAACGCGACGGAACATTTTCGCTGGAATCGTGTGCACTTCATCCAGCACCATGATGCCCCATTCTTGTTCTTGTAACCATCGCATGGTCTGCTCTGCCTCCCAAGAACGCTTTTGGGTGTGTGTGATCATGGAGTAGGTGGTCACCAGTATACCACAGCCCATGGGCTTGTCCTTGGCCTCGGAGGTGAATCGACAGATCATGCTATCATCCGCTGTGGACCACATTTTAAACTGTTGCTTCCACTGCTCCACGGAAACGCCGCTGTTGCACAAAACCAAGGCACGCTTGCGCACTGTACAGCAGGCGGTGACGCCCACCAGGGATTTGCCGGCACCACAAGGCAGCACAATGACACCCGAACGGGCTCTGCCATTGCCAAACATCTTGCGGAGACTCTTCTCCTGGTAAGGACGCAGAACAGCGGCGGGTTTAAGGTCAATATTGATGTCTGGATTGTTGGTATCATTGCGGAAATCGTACTCCGCCAACAGCGGATGCTCAATCTCAATGCAACGCTTCTGTATGACCTCGATTTTCTCCTGGGCCACCTCAAATGACACAGTTTTCAGATTCGCCTCGTCTTCATCCTCTTCCTCCTTGTCGATCTTTTCGTAAAAATCAGTGATATCTTCGGGCACAGCAGCACCATCAGCACCAGGAGCACCTCCAGCTGCTGCTGCTGCTGTGGGATCATCGGCTGGCTTTTCAGCACCCGCTCCTGGCGGCAGCTTGGTGCCAAACTGTGTGATGGCCTTGCCATCCATGGTTCCCTGGATGAAGCCCTCGCCCTCGCTGCGTATCAGACGGCATTTCTGGATCACAGGATCTTTGAGAAGCTTCTGCAGAACCTCCGGGTGAGGTGACTCTATAAAGTACTTGTTGTGCTTGAGGACCAGCTTCACCTTGCCATACGAGAGCGTGCAGAGTCTAATAAACTCCAGGATGCCTTCGGGTATGCTGGTCTTGCTCAGCCTCTTGAGATACTCCACAATATCATGGGTTTGCAATCCCACAGAGACGGCAGCATACAGGCTGTAGGCGGTGAGTTTATACTCATGGATATGCTCTGGCCGGCAAACAGGTTCCGAGATGGCTATGAGAAAGTCATGGGCATGCTTGTACACTGGCGAAAAGGACTCAAGGAAGACGTGACCATTGGGAGCCACCCAAAGTGGACGATTTCCATGATCCTGGCGCAGTTGCATCTGTGAGCGGTAATCTTTGGCCCCGTACTCATCTGTGTTGATGTGTTCGTCATTGGTCTCGGCATTCTTGGAGGCTGCACCGGGCACACCATCTGATTCTGTGGCATCCTGGCTGTCGTTTTCCTCCACCAGCTGAGTGAAGGCCTCGTCCTCGGCACGCCGCTTTTTTGCTGTGGGTTATCTTAGTAATTATAGCCAAATTCTTGGGTTTTCCATAGACCAGAGACTCACCGAACTTGTCGGCGCCACTGCGGTCCTTTTTTGACTTTTTTGGCGGCCCCATTTCAAATGGAGAGCATAAAATTCAATAGAAAAGAAACCGACGGACACGAAATTGGCGAAATAGCAAAGCAGTGTGACCAGGTGGCAGTTTAACAACTTTGCTCGAAAATGGTTGCGCAGAGACAAAAAAACAAAGCAATTTCCAGGTGGAAATTTAACAAAAACCTTAAAAACTATAAATTAAAACCATGATAATGCAGGTTATCAATAAGATATAGTCAACCGATTCCACTGCGAGGCACAAAATCGGTACGGCGAAACCCGACCTCTCAAGAGGCGTCAAGAGGGCATATCTTTGCCGCCTTTTTTGTTTACACTTATTCACACCTTATTTTTACGTTTAATTGCATTCTAAAACCATTTTTACTTACGTTTTTACCACAATAGGCATTTTGTTGTTGTTAAAAATGAGAAATAAGAAATAATAATAAATAAACAAAACTAATAAAAGCACCAGGTTATCAGTGTGACCGCGTTTTGCTGGCTGAAAAAACCAAAAGGTGTTGGGTAATGCTGGTACTTTGGCCCCACTTAGCGGTTTACAGTTTAAAAGCCACTGGAAATTCAAAATTGAATTGAAATAAAATTTTAAAAATTGTAAACTTAATAAATAAATTTATTGCTGAATCCCAAGTGCTTTGTTTTAATTTTCAGTCTAGGTAGGTATTTTTTTTTTTAATTTAAAAAATGCCCGACAAGAAGAAATCAAAGTCAAAAAAGAAGTCACCTTCGAAAAAGGATAAAAAATCGAAAAGTAAGCAAGCACAGCAGTTGGAAAAACTAGCACAAATATGCCGTGGAATTGCGGTGTTCGACCTGCTCCATGCTCTATACTTTACCGTGCAGACCATCATCGATCTGGTCCAGCAGGTAAAATTCTTAAAATTACTTAAATAATTTAATTATATAAAATTATAAATTATATAAAATTGATTTATTTTACGTATTTATTACAGTTCAGCGCTGTTGGTTTGCTGGCTTTGGTGGGTGTGGGGTTCTGGGTGGTGGTTGTCCTTTTGTTGATTGTGGGCCTGTGGAAGGTTGGTTTATATTTAGTATTTCTTTTAAAATATAATATAAAATAATATATTATTTAAATTTTAAAGAGGCGGCCAAACCTGGTTCGATATTGGCTATTATTTTCTATGTCTGGCTTTATAGTGGATATATTGTTTCTGCTTTGGGGCCTGGCTACTTCCATAACTGTGGATTGGGATCGTCTAGAGGAGTTTGTGATCATCTTTATAGGCATTTGTGAGTATAATATTGATAATACTAGAACATTTAGTACTTTGTACTTTCTATAATTTAAATGTATCTAATTTTTATTCAATTTCAAGTCATTGAAAGTGCCAGCATTTATGTGATATATCGCTATTATAAAATAATCAACACCAAAGGCAAAAAATTATGCTGTAAGTTTAACTAAAATTTAATGAAATAAATTATAATTAATTATATTTGTTTTAGGCAACAAAAGCAGCGATAAAAAATCCCCTAAAAAGGGTAAAAAGGATGGCAAAAAGAAGTCCAGGAAAAAGTAGAAAAACCTTTTCAAAATATGAATTATTTTTAAACCAGCTTGGTTGGCTTTGCTTTAACAGTTATATACTTTCTACTATTGTTTCATATTGTTCCAAAACTTCAGCTAAATAAATTTGTATTTTATAAAAAAAAAAAAACATAAGAAATGCCTTTAAAAGAGGAAAAGGAGAATAATACTCCTAGGGATTATCTACGTATCTTTTGCTTTGTGATTGCAGCCTTGGAATTAGTTCATTCACTAACTTATGCCTTTAATGCCATTTATGAGTTGTCGTTGCATGTAAGTATTACAGATAATATTAAATAATATATAATTAAGCTTTATTTATAATAAATATTATTATTTAGCAAAATACCTACAACATAATAGCTTATCTAGGCGCTGTGGTTTATGTTCTAACTGTTAAGGCTCTCGTTGTGGGCCTTTGGAAGGTAAGAAGTTGGCTCTCAAATACTTTATAAATATATTATATTATATTTATATTTTATATATATATATATTTTTTATATTTAGTGCATTCCTAAACTTTTGATATTTTGGTTAATATTCGCTAGCCTTGCCACTGGCACCAGCATTGTCTTACTTATTTGGAATTTGCTGACTTTACCCGTTTTTGACCCGGAACATTTTATACAATGGGGTGTTGTATACCTATTGATTTGTAAGTATATTATATATATAAAATGTAATTTATAAAATATTTAAATATTTTATTATAACAACAGGTTATCAGTGTGCTTGCATCTACTTGGTATTTCGTTATTTTAGAAAGTTGTGTCCTTATAGTCTTCTGGAAGGTGGAAACTTTGGTTGCCGAGAAAAGGGTAGGGATTATTAAAAACTTATATAAAACTTAAATTAAATTAAATTAAAACCTATAATTTTTAAAGATATAGAAAAAAACCAATCAGAAAGTGAAGATGATTTCGAATATATAGACGAATACCCAGAAGAATACAAAGACGAATACAAAAACGAAAACAAAAACGAAAACAAAAACGAATACAAAAATGAATACAAAAATGAATACAAGGACAAAGACAAAAATGAATACAAAAACGAATACAAGGACAAAGCCAAGGATGAAGAATTTAAAAAGTACGAAGAGCGTGAAAAAGAATCCATTCGAAAGTCCTCAGAAGGAGGTAAAAAGGAAGAAAAGCGTGTACGCCTTTCCGTGAGGAAATAAAATCTAATCGAGATTATCTAACCTTTCATTATATTGAAATTTCATAAATATCCTTGTCCCTTATAAAAATAATACAAAAAAAACAATAAAACACTAAATTAAGTGTGAGAATTTCAATTTACAGATACACATCCTACGTCACACACAAACAAAATAATAATAATAATTGACTTACATAGTTTTCCATCCATTTGGAGATGGCTTCGTGTCGAGACGGGCGGTATCTGGTCACGTTGCCAAGGGGGAGTCGTCCCTTGGATTGCTGGAGGACAATCCAATCTCCAGGGCCTGCTGACAAAACAAATGCCATAAATGAATGGCCGACAGATGGTAGCAGAAACTTGTGAGGACAAGGAGTTCCATTTCACATTGGTTTAGATGGTTTTCAGGGGGAATACTAAGGCTATAAACATAAGTTTTGAGAGGAGAAAAGGTTAAATAATATTTTTTAAAATAAAAAAATAAATAAAAAAAAAAAAAATAAATTTAGAAATATTTAAAAATGGTATAGAATAAAATAGCTACCTTTTTTTTATTGAAATATTATTTTTATTGAAAATAATAAATGCGGGAAAATAAAGACTCTTTTTGGTTTGTTTTTTAGCTTAAATTATAGCCATCCTTTAAATTATTAAACAATATTTAAGCATGTTTAATAAACTTAATGGTATATTTATAATACTTTTATAATGGTATCTCCTTTATTTTATTTAAATAAAAATTAATTTCCATCTCAAAGCTAAGATATAATCCTTTTAAGACCACTGTGCCCCACTGCCTGGGACTTTTGGCAATCAAACGGCATTGATTAACAGGCAGCGAAGGCTTCTCCTGTATCTCCTGGCTCCATCATCTCCCCACCCCCCCGCCTGACCTGGAACAAGTACGTGCTTATCATCATTAAGGCTTTGATTTAGTAGACAACATCGCCAGTACCAAGACGAGTCCCATTGCCAGTATTAGTGCCTGTGATGTGATGAACTTTGACCTGGGGAAATGGGGATATACTCGGATAAATACTTAGTGCCCTGCGCCTATTGCATTGTCCTGCTGGACTTTATATCCGCCCTGCTCTTTACCATTATCTCAGGATTGGTATTCCACAAGCATGTAAGATGAAGAAGCTTTCCTTTTTAATTATTTTAAGGCTGAACTCTGGTTTCTTAAGGGCAATGCCTCTGCCTTGGCAGCTTTGTTATTCACAATTTTCTGGATGGTAATAATCGTAATACTGGCAGCGGGAATCTATAAGCGAAAGGTAAAACTAGTACGGTTTTGGTTGGTCTTCACCTGTCTGGGCATTATCCTGGATGGCGTGATCCTGCTGTATGGCCTGACTTTGGCCATAGCTGTGAATTGGGATGGTGTAAAGGTCACAGTGCTGCCTTTTGTGGGATTAGGTGAGGTTTTATTTGATATTTAATATAATTTTCAAAAGATTTACAGCATTTTTCTCCTTTTTTTAAGCTGTGGAAATGACCTTTGTGTACATTATTTACCTCTTTTATCCCTATGTGGAGTCGGAGTCACAGGACTGTGAAAGGTATCCCAGGTCAAATGCTGGATTTACAATGGAATTTGAAGATGAAATCCAGGAGAAAGTTGAAGAAAAGGCTCGCGATCGCAAGAAACTAAAGCGTTTGGAGAAAAATGCCAAAGAGCGTATAAAAAAGGAAAAGGCGGCCCTCAAGGAGCTGAAAAAACAAATGCGAAAGTCTTAGATTATCATTTTTATATAGTTTTCTTTTTCTTTTCGTTTTTGTTTACTAAATTATATTACATTGATCAGTTTTCTCTCTTGGAAAAGTGCAGCATCTTGAACAAAGCTTTTAAAGCCTTATTATATTATGGCTGCAAGGACCTTGCACACTCACACGTCCGCCCACACAAAATCCTTTTAAAATAATTTACGCTGAGCAGCAAGGAAAAGAAAAAATCAAGATCTAGATACTCGTTTTTAGATAAGACGCCTTGGAGATGCCCTTAAAAATATATTTTTAAAAATATCAAATTTAATAAAATACAAAATATAAAATATTTCTTCCTTAAAATAAGTAGAAACCAAATGGTGACTTGGGACAAAATCCCTTTTGATGACGTTGATTTATTAGCTCATGGGATCTGTTCTTATGACAGGCCTGGCAATAGGCCACTGTCACATAGAATCGATGGACAATGTACAGGAAAATGAACTCCACAACTACAAAATTAAGGGTTATTACTAATCAGTTACATTTTCTATATATTACCCACTCAGTGCCGCCAATAGCAGTAAGCCATTTTTGACCAGACCTTTGTGAAAGGAGCTCTCACACAAAATGCCATACAAAAAGACAAAAATCTCAGTCAGGATGCCGGCACAGGAGAAGATGATCCAGGCACGTACTAACCTGGGACGGCGCTGTAATTAAACGTAAAATATATTTATATAAATATATATATTTATATATTTTTTATACATTTTTTTTCTATATATATTTACCCCTTGAATGCCAAGCAGCAGCATCACTATCATCGATATCCAGAAAATGCCAAAGAGTATGCCAAAAATTGTCAGCCAGCTTAGCTTTTGGTGATTTATAGATTTCTTACATTTATGTATAAATAATTATAGTTTCTTAGGAATATCTTACACGTTGGCTTATTGACCTGAGACCCACCACAAAGAAGAGCAAGGCTGCTATAAGATCGAAGCATCCTATAGCGTAGGCCCAAATCCTCAGGGATTTTGGTCCTGGACTTATATCAAATGAAACCATCTTTTTGAAAACAAAACAAGACAAGATTTGGTTATGAAATAGTCTTAAAATTATATATAAAACACAAATTAAATTCTGACAAATAACAGAAGAGTCAAATATCTAGGATTTTAGAGAGTACAACTTTTAAGAACTATATTTTTCTAGATTTTCCAAGATATCTATAAACTCTCTTCCCCCGGTGAGTGTATCAAAGCGGAAACGGAAACAGCAGCCAAGTCTCGCTGCTGCGGCTGTCGCATCTATTTATGCAGGAAAAAAATGACACACACAACCGTACAAGTACACACATAATGCCTGATGCTGATGAAATACGTGCGGCGGCAGCGTACACACACGCACACACACCAGCCATTACTCGTCTTCGCCCCTTGAGGGCCACAGAGTGCGAGAAAGAGGGGAAGGGGAAGAGGGGATTCCCCGTTGACAAATATAATTTACTTTTTTCGCGCTCATTTGCAACTCGGTGGGGCCAAAGAAGTTGGAGCCCAAGCCGATGCCCCCGGGGCGCCAGAAAAAAACCTTTTTAAACATCTCACTTCCAGTTTAAGTTTTTCGCACAGCAGGGGAATGCAACAGGGAGCTTGAGAAATATGTAAATATATTCTATATATACAACAATGTATTATAAATTATTATTATATATTATTATATATTTATTAAGATTTTAATTTTGAATTATGCAAAATATAAATTAGTACAATAATTTTTTAAGACTTATGAAAGTTAAAAATATCATAATTTAAACAAAATGTCTTAATTTCAATTCGGAAAACATTTCTATGTTAGTTTTTACTAGCTTAAAAAATTTGCATACTAAATTATAAATTTTAAGAAATCAAATTTATTTCAAATTTTTTATAATTTCAACGATGTAACCCCTTATTAAATTTTTGGAAAAATTGTTCAAATTTTTTTTCCCTCGGAAACGTCTAGATCGATCCGACTGTTGATGCTGATCAAGAATATATATGGTTTATAGGGTCGGAAATAACTCCTTCATTGAGTTTTAAACTCTTTACGATATTTTTGGGGAAAATCAAATCTTAAAAATTCTATAACTAAACCAAAAATGCATTAAATTTAATTCGGAAAGCAGTTCTGAGTTAGTTTTTATAAGGTTAATAAGTCTGCATACTTAACTAAATTTTTTAATTTTAGTCGATTTTTGAGAATTTTAATGATGTAACCCCTTACATTTTTTTCGAAAAATTGCGAAAATTTTTTTTTTCCAAACATGGCTTATATGACTCAGCTGTTGATGCTGATCAAGAATATATATGGTTTATAGGGTCGGAAATGACTCCTTCACTGAGTTTTTAGCTTCTTAATGAAATGATAATATCCTGAAAGGATTTAAACAAAAGGAGAGGCAGGTTTACTGATGAATTTAGCACACATTTTTTAATAATGTTTCAGGTTTTTATAAGTTTAAAAATAATAGAAATATGTAGTTAAATGATTTAATAAAAAATACACATATTTATATTTAGATGTACTAACTTAAAAAAATATTTTTAAAAATTATTCAAGAATTTACAAACAAATACAATTCATTTCTTATTGATTTCCTTCTTTACTTAGCTAAATTTGTCACAGAAAAATTATTTCTATACTTCTTTACCTCTATAATTCTTTACTTCTCTACTTTCTCACTTCTAGACTTCTAAAGGAAAGCTAAAAATAAATCCAAAAATGGTAAATGCTTTGACTGCCTTTGGCCTGGCCATTGGCTGGATGGACATTGTGGGCGTCCTGTGCTTTGAGCTGGTTATGTACTATATAATGCGGCAACGTCGCTCGGCTGTAAAGGCAGACTTGCCAGCATTGGAGATTCAGCCTGTAGAAGACCAGAAGCCAAGGAACCCTTTGCCTAGTAAGTATTTAATATTTTTAATAATTAAATATTATATTAAATTAACTTAAACTAACCCCAAAGACCTGTTGAGTCGTCAGCGCATGATGGAGACTGAGAATGCTTGGATTTTTTGGGGCTACTTGTTGATGCTGAATATGTGGATTGTGGTTTCCTTGCTCATGATAGCTGGCATTATAATGGTGGGTTTTTATTCTGCCTTCTAATTTTCATAAATTTACTTATTATATCCTTCAGCATAAACCGGAATTAATGACTATTTATTTGAGTTGGTGCTTCTGCGGTTTGGTCATTGATGTTCTCATGATTTTCTGGTGGATCTTTGAAATGTTTGTGGGTGATACCATCGTGGCCATGACCAATATCCTCATCTCCCTGCTGACCTTTGGTAAGACTTGTCTTATATATCCCATTCTGGCTTTATCTTTCCTCTTTTAGCTGTTGAATTGGCCTTTGTTTTGGTAATTTATGCCATCTATCTTAACCTGTCTTGGTCGCCAGATGCCGTCAACACCAAAGTGACTGCTTATTTTCACTGGTTATTGCTTGAATAATATGTTTTCCTATATTATGAATGTCTTGTAATTTTGATATTGCATTTTCCTGTAGGAAAAAAATTCATTAAACTGCCAATAGCCAGAGGTCATAGGTCATCGTTCAAGCAAAAGGCTACCAGCTTCCTAGTTTCTCCTGTTGTTGCTTTGTAGTTTCTTTTTTTTTAATGGTTTGCCAAACGGAAATTGATTCATTTCCGTTTTTTGTTCTGCGCTTCCGCTTGTCTGTGTGCCGCCGCGGCGCCATTAAAGTCCTGCTAAGGACTTGAAATCAAGTCAAAGCTGTTTTTAGTCCTAATTCGGCATCTAATTCTATTTGTTTGGACGGCGGGATTGTCAGCGACAGTGACGGCAACTGTCACTTGCAACACGATGCCAAAGTGAAAAGCAAAATATTTCTTCTTTATTAAACATTGCTTGGAGTCCGTTTATTTTTTTTATTTTGATTTTCAGTTTTATGTCCTGGAAGAGGGAGATTTTAGAGGGTATATGAGACTTGTGGAAAGGGGAAAAATGGGTTTCTAATAAGAAATGAATTAAAAAATATTTTTAGATAAAATTTTTGTAAAAAATAAAACAGAAATTTGCTTAGGAAAAATATAACAAAGTAGTTTTAAATATATACACTTAAAACAACCAGTTAAGGTTTAAAATGCTTTTTAAATGTGTCTTAAAATATAAAAAAAAAATATTTCATGTGATTAATTTTATGTTTTCAAAGAATAAAATAAATTTTTTTAAGAATTTGAAAAAGTTTTCATATGAAAACAGTTTCAAAAAATACTTTAAAGCTCTATTTTAAATTGTTTTAAAATCTTAAAAATTTCCTGTTATAAAAAAAAATTCCAAATAATTCTTTAAGCTCTATTTTAAATTGTTTTAAAATTGTAAAAATTTTCTAATAACCCTATAAGCTCATAAATCGTATTTAGAAACCAAATTCCATCTCGTTTGGACATTTATGAAGCCCCCTGGAGACATTTAGCTTATTGCTCCTTGCCAATAAATTGTTGTACCGCCCTGGAAAATATGCTATGGTTTTTATGAGGACATAAGGGCCCCGGGTGTTTGCTGGTCGGGACACTTTCTGCTATAATATATATATATATTTTTTTTGCCAGTTCTTTCTGCCATGCGGCAGTGGACGTCCTCTAAGGAGCGACTGGCTGCTCAAATTTATTGTTTGCAAATTGAAATTCTTGTCGACACGCACGAGCAAATCCATTGGGAATGCACAGCACAGCAGCAGCAGGACCAGCAAGAGGAGCAGCTCGTCAGCGTCATAGTCAGCGGCAGCCCAAGGAGCATGAATAGGAACAGGACCCCCTCCCACTCAGCCCGAAAACGACATCGACGACGACGACGGATTTGATGGCGCTGGGGCAGCAGCTCATCATGGCTTTTTAGTATTTATTAAGACTCTGATGGCCCCCATAAAACATATTTTCAAAGAATATATATAAACAAATATGTTCGAGGGCACCGAAAATCGAAAGGCAACAAGGCAGCAATGAGCTCTCCAAGCTGGAGAGCTCTCTCGAAACACGTGTCTGGATGACTCACTCAAGTCGATACTCCATCGAGGACCCTCATTTGGTAATCAGGTTAGCCTAAGAATTCCCAAGAGCCAAAAGCCAAGCACCTATACATTTAGAAACTTTTTTAGGGCTTCATTAAGCTTTTAACTTTCTTTTTAACGGCTAAACTCAGTTGCTTCTTTTTTAGCTTTGGGCTTAGAAAACGTGCTAACTTGTATTATTTATGACTGAAAATAAAAATGTATGTTTAGGTAGTATTTAAATTTATGTACTATTAACTATTGTTTAAATAAATAGTTGCTTTCTTTTTAAGTTTAAGCTAGACATATAATCATAAGATATATAGAAATATTACTTGAGTTTACAAGTCAAATAACTTAATCAAAATTACCTCAAAATAAAATTTAGAAACCATACTAAAATATTTAAAAATATTATAGAGTTTACAAGTCATATAAAATAATCACAAATTACCTTAAAAATAATAGCCATCTCCCACTGAGAGAGAGAGGCAACGACTTCTCTGAGCCAGGTGACTTTCAAGTTTCCCTATTTAAGCCCAATTTCACCTGGCTAAATGCATTAGTTAACCGGAGACATGCAGCCTGTATACAACTTGGTTTTACTTGGCATTATTTGCCTGATGGTTTTAGGTAATATAATTATTATTTATTATTATTTTTGTTTATTTTTTAAGTAATAATGTAATGTTTTTCTTTTAAGGTCTGGCCCTTGCAGTGCCGGCTCAGCACGGCCCGAAAACTAAAGAGACTCAATTTTCGCGAAGTTGGGGTTGGCCTCCCTTTGCATTTGATCCCGATGACTATTATTATTATTATTATTATTAGTCTTTGGTTTTTTTCCAAATTTATTTTGAAGCCTTCAAAGGAGGTGAAATCCTTTGCAATTGGAAAACTTTAAACCATATTGGAAATATTATATATTGTTTAAATAAATATGCAATTATAAGGGGCCTATAAAAGTTACCCTTTTTGAATTTTGAATTGTTATATGTGCAAGTAAATAAAATTTAACTACAAAATATTTTGTTTTTAGTTAATTTATTTATTTATATTGCAAAAACTCACTAAATAACTCTTTAAAATATTTATTTAAATGCTATAAATCCCACAAAATCCCTCTCATAACAAATTCTGTTATTTAATTGCCAAGAAAATATATGTAAAAAATATTATTTGGTTTATATTTAAAATATATTTATTTATATTTCAAAATACCACAAAATCTCTCTTAAAAATATTTATTTATATTACAAAAATCCCTCATAAAAACAACAAAATTCCTTTGCTTAATTGCCCAGTGAAAAAAAGTTGAGGTAATAAAGCATTTCTCAGAAATTGAACTTCCTACAAATTGCCATAAATATAATATTTTTATGATATTTTCCCCTCAACGCAACTAATTGATTTTCTTTGCTTGCTGCTGAGAAATGCCTTGCATTCCATTTGGCCTGGCGAGGCCGCAAGCAATTTTAATTAAATTATATAAGAACTCTACCCAACTTCCCCCCAACTCCAACTCACCTGGGCCTCTCTCTACCTCTCTCTCTCACCTGTGCTTTGGCATAATCTAGGTGTGTGTGTGTGCGTCAACTATTCAATACTCAATGCACTTAATTTTCCGCGTAGAGAGTGTGAAAAAAATAGGAAACCATGGGGAGAATGGCAAAGTCTACGCAGGAAATTGATTGATTTCCGCCAACAGAGGAAAATGGCAAGGAAAATCGAGGAAAAATATGGGCTTTTGTGGGAAAATTTTGATGCAAGGAGGGGGAGGAGTAGATTAAGTTGGAGTTTGTGGCAATTAGTTGGGGCTGAGGGGTCCTACTGGCTGTACTACTGTGTATCATTGGAAAGCCCAATGTTATGCCACAACAAACACCAACACTAAAACGCACGTGTCCTGCAGGACTTTGAACACAAGTCCTTGTGGCGGCAAACATAAACATAGACACAACCTACCGACTAGCATAACGCGGCACTCTCCTATACTATACCTACATATAAGTATGTGTGTGTAGAATTTCAAGGGGGTTTTTGGCATAGTTTTCGGGTGTCCTGTTTGCATATCCTTGCCACTGTGTATGTGTGTGTGTGCTGGTAAGTTAAAAGCAAAAGCTGTGCTTGTTACACGCTCAATTAAACCCAAAATGACGCCGCTGGAAGCTTAAGTCACGCTTTATATAGTTTTGCATTCAAGTTGCATTTGTCGCCCCAAAATGCCGGATCACTATCTGTATGCATATCTGGGTTAAAATACAACAGGCGACTAAAAAAAACGTGGCTTAAGCTGGTTTTTTATGTATACAATATAAAACAAGGGTACTTTATATTAATATATAAATATTTATGTATAAAACGTTATTGAAAATATTTAAGAACAATTATGTTTGACAGCAATTGAAGCCCTTAAATGTCTATTTTTTGGGATTTTTTGTGTCCCTTTGAAATTTGAAGCCTTATTTGCATAAGAAATCTCATCATAGATCTAAAGATCTATTATATAATTTATTCATTTTCTTAGGTTTGTAATAAGTTCCCCATTTTGTCGCCTGTACCCTACATCTCATTGTGTTCTGGCAAATGGAATTGCTGGAAGTGCTCTTCGAAGGAGTCAATTTGTTAAGCAAACTCGGTGGTTAGGGAGCACTCTCCGTAGGACGTGCATGTTTATTAAACAATTTAAAAAGGAGCTGCACTCAAGGTGAGTACACTTGTAGGTGCGCCAGGTATGGAAATAGGACACGGAAACCCACTCCGTTGCCACTTCACACAGTGCAACGCATCGCATCGCCTTAAGCAAATTATCTAGCACGCAAAATGGCTTTAGGAGAGAGAGAGAGTTGGCACAAAAGCGGCTGCCAATTAGCGCTCTGGTTGGTTCCTTCTGTACTCAATAATGTGCTTAGTCAGCGAAAGGACCTTTGGGCGGCGTTTTGGGTGCACACACAGGTGCGACAGGACACGTGCCGCACTCACACGTTGACAGTCACACGGTCCGCCAACATTTGTCGCTGAATTAACACTCGGCTACAATGGGAAAAATATTTTGTTTTAATTTTTTGGAAAAAATTTGATTGATTTTGATTTTTTTTTAATTTTATTTTAAGGGTTTTTCTTAACTTAATTTGAAGTAAAAAATTGTTGGTTAATTCCTCTTTAAATGATTTAAATATATATCTATTTTCTTAATGTTTTTTTTAGAATTTCCATTGTTTTTCCTAAAAATTTAGTTTTCGATAGTATACCAATTTAATTTCTGAAAAATCGATAATTCTTAAAATCTTCTTTCCTTTTTTGTTTAATTTTTTTTGTTATACAATACAATATTTATGTTTTAATATATTTGCTAAATTTTATAGACTTGCTGAAAATGTTTTCGATAACTTGACCAACCAATTTCTTACATCGATATGTTTGTATTTTTTTAATCAATATTTTTCGATTTCTGTTATTAAAATATTCTTTAATATTTTTCCAACCAAATATTTCGTATATTTCCATTTTCTCATATCAACCAAGTCAACAATTATTACCCTAGTTTCTTGCCAGTGCATTGTAGGGCCTGCAACATTGTTTTCTCGTCTATATAGTGGAAAAGTTGCCCCAAAACAGGACATGACACACTCACTCACCCACTCACACCCAAACAAACACACACATGGGCGCACTTGGAATTGCAAATCAGTCGACTAATGTGTACATAATCAGTCATGTCCCAACATGTGAATTCCATTAGTGATACACGGCCATGCAAACAAACAAGCATTAATCAGGGGCCGTGGACGTGGGTGCGAACAAGAGGCACCTCAGTTAAGGAGGGACTAGGATCGGGATCAGAATCGCTAGCAGGACCAACAGGACTAGTCCTGTCAGCCCATCCACACTCTCTCTAGCTGTCTATTACAGCTGGCATGGCATGGCAGGCCCATCATCCCAGGGCATTCTGTATGCCAGACATGCCATATTCCATACATTCCATATTCCATATTCCATGCTTATGTTATTTATGCTTATTGTCTCGGGTCACCCACCAGGACGGATGGAAAAATATTGTTTCCCACTCGACTTACAAATTACGGCGGGAGCAGCGAGAAGAAGGCGCGCGTTCAGCAGCCGCAGCCCACCTTGATTTATACTTACATTTCAGTGTGGGCACTGCAAAAATTATTATGTGATTGTAATTAAAACGAGTGGGAAATAAAAAAAAAATTAAATAAATATTGTATTTATTTATATTTAGAGAAAACATAAGTAGACCCATATGTTTCCAGAAAGTATGAACTAGAGATAGGCCATATCGACATCTTATAAGAGTTTATAATAATGTTCGATAAAATTATCGATGTTTTCGATATATTATGAGTGTATACAAAATTATTGAAATTATTGTTAAGTTCAATGAACTTATCTATATTGAAAAAATATTCAAAAACAAGGTCAAAGCGTTTATTTCTTGTCTACTATAAGTTGAACTTTACATCAAGGAAACATAAAAAGTCACTTTTTCGATAGCAAAAACAATTGATAAAACCAATCGATAAGGTACATATTTTTCCCCTAATTATTTTTGTTCGATTTCCTTATCGAAAACTACTTCAACTCCCCCCTCTCTACCAGAAATCTATTAAATAAATTGTAATTAATTTTCCAGTTAATTGATTTGTAATTAAATTTAGTTTTTAGTGTATGGCAAGGCGACGTTCGCTTAATACGCCATTCATTTGGTCGCGTTATACTTCATTAAAGCAGGAACCGAGGGTTGGAGTATCGGAAGGATTCGATGGAGTAGCCGGAGAGAGAGAGAGAGAGAGAGGAGGTTCGTATCCGTATCCGGCGCCTTGGCCGCAAAGTGCAGTCGGCAAAAATTATGCGGCTCGTTTGCTTCGCCTGGAAATGCGAATGCGAGTGGCGATGGCGATGGCGATGACGATGAGGATGGCAATGGAAAAGGACGATGGCAAATAGCAAATGCAGTGCCAACTTCAACTGGCCTGGCCATTCGTTTATCCCTTTGTTCTCATTTATTTGCATGTCATTTGCTTCGCCCGGCATCTGTGCTGGCTGGCGTCCCTTTCGCTCACTCTGTCTGTGCTGTGTCTCATTTTCTTGTGCTTGTTCTTTTCCCTGGATTTACCCGGTGCTTTTTACCAGTCTCTGCCCTGTACACCCGTACGGGTCTACGGGTCACGTTTGTCTGCCAGGATGCCAGTTACTTATGGCTGTTATGTGCATTATCAATATGCATTGTACGGCGCCTCATGCCGCTTTATATTTTGCCAGCGTTTTTCTCCTACTTTCGAGTGGGTATCACAAATTGGTTGTCCTGGTTGCAGGATGCAGACAGGAGACCAGTATCCTGGCATGCACAATTATTTATGGATTTAGTTGTGCTTTTAATGCCACTTGACGGTACTTTAGGCTGGCATAAAAAATGAGTTGCAAATTATGGTGAATAAATAGTGAAGATTAATGCCAAGTCAAGTTTTTAGGGAGTTTGTTGCTTATTAAAAATATAGTTTTAAAGTTTTTTTTTTTTTTTTTTTTTTTTTGCATAACATTAAACAAAATTTTATTAACGTTGATCAACCAACCTAATGGCTATAAAACGTTGGTTATAAATATGAACAAAACAATAACATGGCACTTAACAGAAACGGAAACAAATTAACAAATTTTTAATGACAAGTGGAAAATGCTAGTTACTGCTTTAATACTCGCGAGGTATGTCTTCCTCTTGTCCAGAGATCGGCGGGATGTCTACGTTTGAGCCTTCTTCTGACTGACGTGTTGGCCAATGAAGCCGCTAGGCGATTGGTGTGAGCAGTGAGACGTTCGTTATACCGACTTGAATGCCGGTTGATCTGCTCCCTGATAGAGGGAATGTGGAGGTCACTTGCCAAGGCTTTATTTCTAACGTACCAGGGGGCATTAGCAATCAAGCGCAGCGCCCGGTTTTGGACTCTTTGCACCTTCATGACGTTCGAGTCAGAAGCCATGCCCCACAATTGGATGCAGTAAG